TCGATTTTGAATCATCATGATTGGCTAAAGCGTTTATGTAAGTACCTGCATTAGAAGGATCATGTAAGATCATATGACATGAATTAATTTAGAAATGATGTAATTTAGAAAGACTTATGAGTAGATGAGTAGTTGCTATTTTTATGACTTGAACTTATGAGCAGTTGCTATTTTTACGATTTGAACTTATGAGCAGTTGCTATTTTTATGACTTGAACTTATGAGCAGTTGCTATTTTTATGACTTGAACTTATGAGCAGTTGCTATTTCTATGATAGAAAGTGGAAATATCCGAATTGAAATGGAGAGTTAAGGAACTATTACGAATTAAAACTAGTATTTTACTTTACATATATCTGTGTTATATTTGCCCTCCCTTTAAAGAGAAAAAGGCTTAGCGAGAGAAAAGCCTTTAGAAAAAGATATTAGAGCATTAATAGTCGAAGATAATAGTTATTGTATAATATATAAAACTGAATTTCTAAAATGAGAAAGAAAACGATTCTCCTCACAGAAGTAGCTTTTAGCTTTCACTATGCCCCATCGTTGTGCTCTTTAACTCCCACACATGAAGATATCGCAGATTAATGGCGCAGATGTAAAAGCATACTACAGAAAATACTTAAAATTAGGCTTTAACATCTGCGCTATCCATTACGTTTCCAAATTATTACATAGATACATTATACGTATTACTTTTTACCCAAGTTACTCGATCATTAAATTCGTACTGCATTATCGGTTCAGCAGAAACCTTTTCTACATTTGTTCCCCCCCCCACTAAACAGTATTATTGTTCCTTGTCTATAGTTTTTGTTTGCAGTCCTCAACCTACTTACTTACAGCTGGCTCGTTGACATTATTCCAAGAATTCTCTTACACATCTGCCTTCAACTACGCGTTAAAAAGCAGTGATTGTCTTTAGCAGGCTATTGAAAGACTTGACCTTCAAACAAAGCTACTTTCTAAAGCTTTAACCCCATTTAAAAATCGAAACAATCCCTTTTAAAACTGCCCACCTGAAGTCCAATAAATAAATCAGAAATGGCTAATTAAATAGCCATTTTCGAATTTTTATACAGAAGTCCTTCAGTGTTTCTTAAATTAAATGCCTTTGATTCAGAGTTAAATACATTTTGTTTCCCGTACGAAGTGACTGGCTATCCCTTAAAGGAGGTATTAGTGTGTATTTTATCCAGCATGTTATAAAATACTCGGTAACAATATCAATTCAATTAGTAACAGTCACTCTATAGAATTCAATAAATTATTTCGGCTAATTTATGTAATTTAATAAAACACAAACTTTCTCAATTCCTATAATACAAATTCATTAATCAGTGATCAGTGATCTTTATAATTACCGTATATACCCGCGTATAAGTCAACCCCCCCACTTCGACATAAAAAATTCGTAGAAAATAAGAAACCCGCGTGTAAGTTGACCCCCCCTTCCGAAATCGATCGAGAAACTTTGAAAAAAATTTTTTAAGTACTACATTTATTCAAAATCATCTGAGAAAAAAAAGTAAATATACGATAAAAAATACCTTGGTAAATAAACAAAATCAAAATCCTTCAACGTCTGATTCATGGTCAGATTCGTCAAACATTTCGTAGAACTCTTTCTGTCTTCATTGGCTCGTCATCATACATATTTTCAGTCTCGAACTCTGGTATCGTTACAATCACTACTAGAGCCTTCGTCGTCATTTTCACTTTCAAAAACAATATCTTCCGTGCCGTCTAGTTTGTTGCTAATACAACATTTTTTAAATGATTTTATAATCATTTCAGAGGAACTCTGTGATTAGTTCGTTACATAATTTAAGTCATGAAATTATTTCAAGTAAATGACTTATCTGATAAGTCGTCCAATTTGAGTGCGGGAAGAAAACAACTGCATTATACAAAAAAAAATTTTTGAACTTCCGATTCTTTTAATTTTTTATGGCGCCGCGTATAAGTCGACCCCCCCACTTTGAAGACTTTTTTTTTTTTTTGTCCAAAATATTTCGATTTATACGCGGGTATATACGGTAGACGATTTATTGCTCTGTGTTATAATCGTTTACATATCTGCTAGCAATTCTTGTGAATTTATAATCAATTCCATTATTTCATTTTTCTTTTTGAAATATCCTCCACATTTTAGAAATTTAGTTGGATATCTATAGTTTCCTATCAAAGAATACATTTTTCGTATATTATGTGTTTATGAATACTCCATTAAATAGCGTTTAATATTACCTTCTCCAGTCTGCTTCCCATGTTTGCCTCATCATATTAAAAACGTTATTATGCCTCGCGGTTGTTAAATAATGAAGAAATCCTTCAGTGCTGTTGGGTCGGAAACTGTAAGTGGAATTTCATTATTAGATTCTTCCTGTCAGAGAAGACTTTCACGTCAGAGTAAATTAAACTGCAAGTATTTTCTTTTTCGATGAGTAATTCTCGGAGACTTTTCTCTTTTCGTGTCAGTTTTGGTGTGAAAAGCATTGGCAGAAAATTAAAATGCAGCGAACGTAATAAAGCTTAAGAATCGGAGAAAAATATTTTCGCATTAGTTTACGCATTATTCAATAGGATGATTAGTCGCTGTATAAAAATATATCACGTTTAGTTAAATGCGTAGATACAAGCGCAGTGAAAACTTCTGATAAGTATGAAACAAAATATGATGTATATTGTATATAATATAAATATTTCTATACAATTTTAAAAATATAATCTTTGTATATTAAAGCCCAAATTTGTTCTATATCTGTATAATTATTGGCTCAAGCCAGCTATAGTACCCTCATAATTGTTCGTAATATGTTTCAAGAATTATCATGGTTGAGAGGATAATAGCAAAAATGGTATAGAGATAATAGCAAAGCAACTGTATGAATAATACTGAAATGTGGATGATAATGCGTAACCTAATATGTTATTACTTTGCAAGATATTTTCTCTCACTTTACCTCGCGTCTTCGTGGTGTAATTGGGAGCATGTCCGGCTAGCAGTCAGAAGGTCCGGAGTCCTGGGTGAGGGTATAGTTCATTTATACCCGTTCTCTGACTTAAAAAATTCTAAATGACTCTACAGTGGCGCCCGAACTAAAATGTGCTGCATGATAATTCGTCACCACCGAATTTGGCAACTGGATCCAATCCTCCACCTTTGCCCTATAAGACAAGAATACTTAGTATTTTCTCACTCCTTATTGCTTGCTTTCGTAGTGTTGGAAGCCCGTCCGGCTAGCATCGGAAGGATCACAATTCGAGTCCCGGCAAGATCACTGCCCGTTTTTATGTTTCCTGCCCCGATAAATCTAATGACTCTACAAGTTTAACAACCCAACTAATTTAATATTAAGCTCACATACATAAATATGGTAAAGTTGATTTAAGAACGATGCAATACATTAATAAATTATACACTATTAATTGTCAACAATTAACTGCTCACGCTAAGGGGTTAATGGCATTTAATAAAAATAATAAAATGTACTGAACGCTACATTCTTCATTTATAATGCCCATTTTTGCTCCTGGCTTATATTTATACAAACATAACGGATTTATGGATGTTAAATATAATTCTCTGGAGACAATTCACAAATAATGTATTGTAAAGTATCATGTACTGGATGAGGGAATTGTAAATACTTCTTTTGTCCCGTAATAATAGTAGCAGTTGATGAATATAATTTGTCCCATAATAATAGTGGCAAAAGAAAATAAATCTAGAACGCAACTTTTATTATCAAAAAACTAATTAATATTAAAAAACTAATTAAATAATATTAAACTAATTAAATAATAAATTAAAAATATTATTCCTAATTTTTATTCTGAATGTTCAGATAGTTTCTGGAGTTTTCAATAATTTCGTTACTGCATTTTAAACTTGTAGATAAGATCGCTTTGCTGCGAAGCTTTGCTTTCTCAGTATGCTTGTGCTTAAAATTATTAGAATAATCGTTCTTCGTTGTTTCTAGCACAACTTGTTGAAGTAACAGTAAAGTATTATCTAGTATTGCTAAAGAAATATTATCAAAGGCTATGTTTACTGCTTCTGTAGTGCCTCTTCTGCTTAAAGGAGTATGTCTACGTTTTTCAAGTTTTTCTTCATAATCATTGCATTTATGTCCACATATCTGTCAACTTTAGAATCAACTTTACACTAAGATCATTCTAGTGCACTTAAATTGTTTTGCAAGTAACGTAATTGCATCCTTGTGCAACTTTTCATTTTTCTTTTATTGCATCAAGTACTGGACAATCGCAACTCACTTTTTTCTTAAAGACTATCTTTTTTATCTTACTTTTACAATGGGGTGATATTAAACTGAAATAAAACAATTAATTTCGATCAGAGAATGAAATTAGAAAAATAACTGTAATTAGTAATAATTAGTTTAACCTAAAACTTGAAAGATGGTTAAAAAAATGACAGATGTCATAAATCTTTGATGTTGGTTGAGGACCTCGCAATTTTGCTTAAATTTAACATGTACATAACTTATTGCTGCATTCGCCAATAATTCCCTTTTAAATACTCACTTTCTACTATTATTACGGGACATAAATAGTTTCATATTTTTCATCAACGTTCAGCCATAATCATTAGAAATAAAGTCCAAATCGCCCAAATGTGTATTTGTGTTTCATGGTCGGAATAGTCATGGATACAATAGTATTGGAAGTTTTGGGCTGTTGCATTTCATAAAGTTATGGCCATTTTCCTTTGGTATGCGTTATATTAACAACGCATCGTTTATAATTTTGATTTTCAAAAATATTTTCGTGTCGCCTTAAATTGAGAAAACTAAATTGGCAGTTATGGGGGGGGACAGGACATAATTATAAGCATGCATATTGCATGGTCAGATGAAATAGCCCTAAAAGTTTGACTGATTTTTAGATAAAATGCATGCATTTCTTTTGATTAAATACTATATGTATAAAAATTTTTCAAAGCTTTATTGAATAACGAAACATTAAATTTTTAGATAAAACTGATGCAATTGAAAGTGTACATATTTCTTCAGAAGCTGAAGAAAATGCAGTGAAGCAACTTTTAATTAGACTCATCCCTGACAGAGCTGAGCAGTTTATTATAAAAGTCAACAACCATCTCGATGACATTGATTACTTTCAGGTAAAACAGGCTTTTTTATAGTGGTAAAGAAATTAAATATATCTTTGTAACAGAAAATCAATACCTGTATTGATGCAGTTAATTAACATTAATAGCAAAAATTGCATTGCATTTGAACTAAGGTATACGCAATTCGGGCTTACAGAACTTACAAAACTGGTTCGCTTGCGACCAGTGCACAGCATAATCAACCATATACGTAAACTGCAATAGTAACAGCGCCTTCTCTTTCAAATAGTTTTTTTTTTTTTTTTTTTTTTTTTTTTTTTTTTTTTTTTTTTTTTTTTTTTTTTTTTTTTTTTTTTTTTTTTTTTTTTTTTTTTTTTTTTTTGATGGCTTCTTTTAAATCATTTATTCTATAAACTGCAAACGCACAGAAAGAAGACTTTTTTAAAAAATAAACATAAAGGATGGAAATATCGCTTACTGCACTTTCACTAAAACAAGTCCAACCTTGTCAAGACAGTGTTGTTACTATAAATACAGCAGAAATCTGTACTGTTTCATATGAAAGTTATAATATGATGTCCAATGAAAAGAGGTGATGATTTTCGAAAATTCGTAAGAAATTTGACAACAGCCCGAGAGATATCACTTTTACTAGCGTATTTTTCCTTTAACGTTGAGCGGTAAAATCGCTGAACACTGGTAGTTCGGTCCGAGGTTCGAATCCCGCGAACGGGCTGACCTCGTGGGCGTTTTCGTGGTTTTCCCCATGTGTAACGTGTATACGAGCCAGTTTCTCTTAGAAAGTCCTCCACGAAGGCATCCCTCCTCTTAGGCAGATAGCCCTAGTTGCTTTGCCGTATTCACAATACACGCAACCCTTAATGCAAAAGTTTCTGAATATTTTTTAAGTATTCACGTAATTTACGCTTTTCCGAAGGCTTTCAGAAAGTAAGTCGGCTTTCCTAAATTTTAAAATAGATTCATTCACGTAGTGGTTGTTTTCGTCTTGCTAATTGCTTTGCTCGTGGATTTTGGGTGCAGGGGGGTCTATCTGCTGGAGCAATAACAGTGAAGGTCTTTAAGAAAACGGAGATATCTAATGCTTTTAATGGTTATAAAGATCATTGCAAGTAGGAAGACAGATTGAGCGTGACGAATACAATGACAACGGTGACGATAGCGACGAAGTGCAAGCTGTAACAGACAATACTGACAGCAGTTCCAGCAGCATTAAATGATTTGAGGCCTAGGAAATAGCAGCGAACAACAATAACAGCAGGCGAAATTCAGGATATAGGGAAGTTGAAATAAAAATATTTTATTGACACTGTAATGTTAATATTACTATGTAGTCTTAACGTAATGTAGGTTTCTCAAATATAAATAACAGTGTGGAAATTATCGATAGTTTATCCTTGAATATTTTTCATTTTTTATGTTTTGACTGTTTTGACTTCTGAAATTAAATTCCTTTCTCGATTTTCCTAAGATAAATTTAACAAAAAAAGAGGGAGGAACACAAGTCAATACAGTATTGACATTAGAAATCCGCTGAAAAACAACGGTCGAGGAATGAAGATAGTTGAAACAACAATAAATAGCTCAGGAAAATGACTTTATACTTTTTAAATAAGCGCAAAAAAATGTAGTTTAACATATAAAAATTAGTATTAACAAACTTGTAACTAATTAAGTGTTAAACTCCTGCTCCTGCTTGTAACTAATTAAGTGTTAAACTAAGTCATCTGGTTGAAGGACAACCGGATGATTTATCGATCTTCCAATAAGATAACTTCGATTAGGTAGAAAGTTTAAACAAACCTTTTTATTAGATCGTTAGCTTTGCAAATTTACATAGCTCGTGCGATAACAGAATATCTCTGCTGCTTGCGGGACTAAGAAAATATTGCCTTTTAGTATGTGAAAATTCCCAAGACAAATTCCACGAAAATGTTTGGACTCAGGCCATCATATCGGGTCCACCAGCGGCCCAGCGCTAAAGTCGCTGAACACTGGTAGCTCGGTCCGAAGCTCGAAAATCCCGCAAACGGGCTAGCCGCATGAGCATTTTCGTGGTTTTCCTCATGTGTAACGTGTATACGAGCCAGTTTCCCTTAGAAAGCCCTCCACGAAGGTATCCCTTTCCTTAGGCAGAAACCCACGTAAGCACACACATATAGCAAATATCAAAGCTGTTCTAGTAAATCTAGTAACGGCGAAAAATAGTGCCTGAATGGTCAGAGGTCGCTTCAAAAAGCTCTCCCCAAACTTCTAAAATGTTTTTATATAATAGACAGGTCTACATCTTCGTTGGATCCGACCAAACACAAAAAAGGCAGTATAGACTAAATAATAAGATAATGGGTTGTAAACATAAGTCTAAGAATGTATGTAAAAAATAAAAGGTAGAATTTATCAAATTTTACATTTAACTACTTTTTTTTAATCATAAACTGCTTATAATAGTTACTTATTTAACTATTATAAGCAGTTTATTAAGAACTTATTGTACCTGTAATGGGTTTCATTCTACTATAACTGATCTTTCGTGGATTTCTAATGTAAATATTTCACGTGTTGTTGACAAATTTGCTTCGAATTTTCGTAAAACCACAGTTTTCTTCATTGGATCTCATGTTCCAACTTGCATATGGAAACACTACAATTTCTGCTGTGTTTATAGTACCAACAGAGCTTTGACAATGTTGGACTATTTCCAAAAAAAAAAAAAAAAAACTGCTGTCAGCGATCTTTTCATCTTTTTGTTTGTGCTATTTTTTGCCTTGAACTACATTTTTATTTATTTTAAACTGCACAAAGTTATTTTCCTCAAGTATTGAAGTTTTGTTTTTTTTTAATATTACTTCTCAAAAGAATTTTTTGAATACTTATAATAATTGTAAATTTGCAAAAGCAATAGTAATTTTTGCGAAGAGTAAAAAACAATATTTTTTTCTTTCAACCATTGTTTATTATTTTTCAAACAGCAACGATAGGTTGATCAACAAAACATTTATAAATATGCTCATCATTAATTGGTTTGTTAATCAAAATGGCTCGCGTAGTTATTGCATGTGGGATTTATCCTTACGATAACCTTACTCAGGCTAATCAGTTATTTCAGATTCAAATGTTTCATCAAACATGTTTTTTCAAATTTTATCTCCTTACTAACTAATTTTCATTTTTTTATTAAATCCACTGAGCATTATTTTGAAGTAAACATGACTGATGTCTGCGAAACATTATATTTCTCTTTCGATCCTTCTTCTAAGCAGGATTTCTATCAAAATACTGTACGTGCTGTTTAACACGTACAGTATTTTGATAGAAATCCTGCTTGAAAAAAATGATTACTTTTTGTTTAAAATGTACTAATTCACGAGTTTATGGCAATTAGTTTATCCTTCAGATTTCATTATTTTACCTTATTGGTCTTCACATTACAGATGAAATTCTGCAAGCAAATATTTCTCAGCGCGCAGTATCCCTACTAATAACTTACTGAACGCCCACTAACACCACTAATGACAACGGTCGAAACTGACGGCTTGATTAACAAAATGATTGCGTTCTAACTCTATTCCTGTCAAACTGTCACTTTACTGCCGTGACAGCTTGCGGAATTAAAATAATGAAACTAGAGGCTAAATTGTTCATATCCTAGTCCCACTTCGTATTCCCAATTAATTACAGTTCTAAATAATTCTGGAATTGTGGCTAAGATGCCGGGAATAGCCTCGTATTGCAGAAGTGTCTATTTCTGAAATTCTTTTTATAGCAGGAAATGAACTTTGGATAAAATGCGCTAATCAAAATCCCTTTAATTGTCTAAAAATAACTTATATTTACCTGTATATTCTGCAATGCATATAAAATAGAAAGGTCTTAAAGTTACAGAATAGGACTGTAACCTAGATTTATAAATAAATGCATCACATTTTTATACTGATGATATGGCAATGGTAAAGAAGTTATTCGACTTCAAATTTGTTAACACCTAAGAATGATGCTGTTTTTCTTTTTCTTTTTTCTTTCTTTCTTTCTTTTTTTTTTTTTTTTTTTTTTTTTTTTTTTTTTTTCACTTAGCGGTTTTGACTTATATAAATAAACACCAGAAGTTAATGTCAGTCGACAAAGTCTAAGATCTTTTGTTTATCTTGCAAAGTGTATTTCTCATGAAATATAACAATGTGAACGATTTAAAAACAATTTTCGTAATTGGTAATAACATTTGTTACTTGCTTATTAATAAACTAATTGTTTTAACACTTTCGCTGCTGAGCGACATTTTCAAAAACTTTTCCATCACTTCAACAAATTTTAATTAATTAATTGTAAAATAAAAATACAAAACATATGTTAATAGGAAATATATTGAATTTAGATAACTTTAATTGCTTTATTAATTAAGCGAGTTATATCGTAGTCGATTTTTGCGATAAAATGTTTTATTACAGCGCCAGTTACCGGCATATTCGTAGTTGGCGGTTGCCTATAACAAAGATTGAATTCTTTTACAACAGTTATTATATCAAAGATTATTATAAATTGCTTGATTATTTTTACACTTCCTATGTTATTTACCTTAAAATTACTTATATTAATTATAATAAATCGCTTGAATTGAGCCCAAATTGTTGTGTTTTTTTTCCTAATCTCCAAAGACACATACCTTCAAAGAACATGAAAATACTACGAGTTTGATCGTATGTGGCGTAAGTAAAACAAAAACGTTCTGCGAATTAATTCGTAGCTGGCGCTTGAACACAAACTTCGGTCCACGAGATAAATCGTGGTGGGCAGCGAATAAATTAATTAAAAAATAATAATTAGCCGCTTCTTGTGTGTACTGTCATTTGTATTAAAAATAAAATGAAATGTTAATAACGAATAGTATATTATTGCATAAAACTGCAATCCTCTACATATATTTCTTTTTAATTATATTCGAGAAGTAATTTTTCAATGATATTTTCTTTTTAATAGCTTAATATTTTGCAATTGATGTCATTTTCCTCGAAAGAAATATAAAACAAGCCCATTGTTTTAAATGTTTAAATTTTCTTCTTTTTCAGATTTTTTTTATTTTATTTTACAGAAATGATTTAATTTTACCAATTGGCAACACTATTGGTTTATTGACTGTAATCTGAATTTGCAAGATTTTTTTTTAAATTCATGAAATAATTTCGTTATCCTTATAAATTTTACAGTGATTGTCTTTCATTAGTTAAGCAGTTATAACTTGTTTTCTACTCAAAGTACATGTGTTACTAAAATAAATTCTTCTCGAAGATATGTAATAAATTCTCAGGAGAAAATAGAATAGGTTTTTATGAATGTAAATAAAATTTCTCCATACTTATGTCTCTAAATTTAGAGTACATAAAATATTTGAAAATTACGAAAATAAGTCTTGAAACTTTATTTTTCTTAGTATCACAGATTTATCAAGTTACGCGACTTCAAAATTACCACATAAGAATTTTTTTTTATTTTCATAAGGGATTACAACTCTCATTCATCAAAAATTCAATTAAAGAAATACTCAGAATGCTAGCTTAAAACAAATTTTAAGAAGAATATTCAGTAAAAGTAACCAACAGTAAACTACTTTAAAAGTTCATAAAAATTGAAAATACATTGCATATGGTATAATTATTTTATTATGAGTTATTCAATAATATTTACAAATGGTATGATTCTTTTATTACGAGTTATCATTTAAGATTTGGTTATCCTAGACAACAATGTTCGGGAAGTGGGACAATTTTTTTGCCTATGTGCATCATTCTTTATACGTATTATATAGATTTTCATATTCATGAGTGGAAGCACAATTTTGTGTCGAAAGCGAAAGAATCCGACAATGTGCTACTGATCCATCTACGTTATAAATATTATTTCTTAGTTTCCAAATGCTTATTATCAGGTTAAACTTGTAGTACAAATTAAAGCAGATTTCAGCGAACAAGAGATATTGTCATATCTGTTATTTTAATGCTGAATAATAAATCATTGTTATATAAATTGAGGACAAAAAATGGAAATTTCTTCAAAACAAATCCGATAGTGCACTATTTATTGGATAGTTACAATTCTACTATATATATGTAATAATAAAATTCCATAGTCAAGAATACACTTAAAATACTAAATGTATGTTCTTTTCATTTTTAATGGCGACGTTCTCTTATTTGAAAGTACGTGTATTTAAATCCACAGCCCCGTAGTCAAGTGTTTTTTCCCCCCCGCCTTTCTACACGTATAGTTATAGAATGTTCTGGAAATATTTAAGCGAACTGGATTGGCTGACGTCATTTCTTGGAAGCTCCGCCTTTCCAGAGGCTAAAAAGGACTCGCAAAAAAAATATCGGAGCTTTTTCTTAAATGTCACGATGCAGTAAACTTCATAACAAATATTATTAGTAGTTCTTTTTATTTACTCCGGATATCTGATTTTGTAACTGCTATTTCTCCTGACCAATAATAAATGGATCCTGTTTTTTTAAACTTATCGTCTGATAATTTAAGTTACGACTACATTTACGATTCTTCAACAATCTATTTATTCCTGACAAAAGCTGGTACATCATATATATATATATATATTTGATTTACTAAAATGTATGATGCTTTAGAAAATGCCAAGTGTAGTGTATAAATTTTTATTTTCCTTGTGTGCGATATCATACCTTTCTTGTGTAAGTTACCATTTTTTCGTTTGTTTACAATTAATGGCTTTCATTATATTCTAAAGATTGAAAGCGGTGATGATAAAATAATAATTACTGGCACCCGAGGTTATGCTGCAGCTGCCGGAGTGCATCACTACTTAAAATATTTCTGTGGATGCCATATAGCTTGGTCTGGAAGTCAACTTAATTTGCCGAAAGATCTACCAAAGCCCGCTAAACCACTGAAAATTAAATTCAACGACAAGTAAGTTCTACTTCCTTTTCCTTCCGTAATATTAACTTGATACAACTAGCTTGGCGCAGTTTGGCGATTTTATTTTTTCAGAGAAAAGGAATGCTAATTTAAAATTTAAAAAAAAAAGTATTACGTACAGTTACATATAATTATAGATAGAGATAGAGATGTTACATTTTAATTCAGTATCTTTCTCAAAAATCGATCAATAAACTTATTTACAAGCGTTTTTTATTTTCTTTTGATATGATGAAAATTACATAGCAGTCGTTTATGCTTCTAAGCAATTGCTTCATTTAAACCTTTTCTGGTAAAATACTGCATTACTTCTGCCTGTTCCATTGCAAGTAAATGCCACATGTATATATATATAGCTTAAAATTGAGTTCAATGGAAAAAACATGATGATTTTGCCTGTAAAGACTGCTACAATATAACAGAAAGGAATACATATGTAAATATTTACGTTGCTGGTTACACCTGAAGATTTACCATGCGAATAGTTACCAGAGTTTGACGCATTTCTGAAATTTTGGCGACTATTACTAAGGTGATTGCGCTAATACGTAAGTACCATTAAATTTTAGATCTCCAGTTTTACACTTTAGTATAGTTTCCATACTTGATCTATTAATGCTTCCAATGAATAAATTATAATTTCGTTTTCATCTTTATTGGCAATTCCCTTTAATTCCGCTGTAGTATATAAAAACTCATTCTGGTCTATTTCATGTGCAGTATGTATTGAAATATGGAAATCTAGAGATAAAAATAAGTTTAAAAACAGCAATTTAAAATACATGTTTAAGCTTTTGAGTTTCTCACCTAAAAGATATCTTTGAGATGTCAGTCGAAAGATATAAGTAAGTATAAAACAATCTTTCCCGAACTTTAATCTTATTTTCTCATCAAAAATTAACTTCTGTTTTTCTTAGTTAAAAAAGCTCTTATATAATTTTTTAATAATTTTTAAACATTTATTCTAGAGTTTTTAATTCAAATATTAGGTTACAGTTGGAAACACCTTTCGGGTTTCTGACTGTATTTTTAATAATAATGTTGCATTCAATATCGCTGATGAAAAATTTTCTATCTAATCCTCATAATTTAAAGAATTTTGCTAACTGATCAAACAATCTCAAACAAAATTTGGCAAACAACAAAATGAATTTTCAGATGAATATTCAGTGAGATGAATTCCTTGAAACTATTAAATTTATGCTATATAATTACATAGCGAATAACATATGTAAAATAAATGCACGCCTGTAGGGAGGAGACTGTGTTTTATTACACATTACATTTGTTCTGTACATTATACGTTATTCAATTTTGTCATCGATCAAAAATTAAATTTCTTTATCTTATTGTAAAGTATGTCGTTATCGTATCGAAACTAATTTAATTTCTTTTAAAAAATGTACGCAAGAAGATATGAATTTGTTTTTTCGCTTTTAAATTCAGATTGATTCGAAGTACGTTCTTTAAGGAGACGGAAAGACGTATCCAGAAAGAATTCTTCAAGGTTGATGAAAATCAATATATGTAATGAACGCACAGGAATAAGAAAAGTTCTACATACATTAAGTTTTTTAGAAGTGGGAAACACGAAAAATCAGCCGCAAAGAATCCAGGATTATAATCTCGGATCTTCCAATTGCCAGGTGAACGTGCTATCAGTTACACCTCGAAAGTCCTACTGGGGAAGGCGATAATTCTTTATATTTTCCTATACTTAAACGACTAATAATAAGAGAAAAACGAGACTCAGTTGACCAAAACCAGGTGGTGATGTATTATCATCGTTCAAGAGAATATTACATTTTTTTGGATCAAGAAGCGCAAGACAATCAGCTGCGCTCTCTCCAGAGCTCAAACTACAAATCATCCGAATACTAGCTGAACATGCTACTAGTTACACCATAACAAAATACACGGGTGAAGGCAATAAATCTGTATGAAATCTCGCTGTGATCCAAGAGCAATGGGGACATTTATTCTGATAAAGCAGCTTCAAAAGTAGAAGAAAACAGTATTTTGGCATGGCCAAATAAGATGTGGTTCTTGGCATGAATTACTGAATAATGCTCATGAATAATCTTTCAAGATATGAGGGGTCAAATGCAGACTAATAACTGGTCAATTCGTTGACACTTCTGGAAAGGCGTACACTTTCAGAATGCCTCATCCTGTCAAATACGTAATCGATCAGGGAGAGTTAAGGTTAAAAGGATGTGGGAGATTTATGGAAACAGTCTTGGGAATGCCCTGCCCTTCATAATCTGACATAATGATACTGAAAGATGGCTGGGGATTGCTGCTATAAGAAGACTTCAGAATGTCATCGGCATATTTTGCTGCAGTGAAGGTGTTTCGGCGGGCTGTCAAGAATGTCTGAAAGTCAGTCATTCGCAAGACATGTCTTTCCACACATTCACTCCAGGTAAGTAACACACACGGCGTTCCAAAATAAAGGCAGATTCCATTCGCTAACTAACTGACTCCGCAGTATTCGCTAGACATTCATTTCCACAGCAAACCAAGCCTTATCACGGCAAACCACATGACTGCTGAACACTATTTCACGTTGGATGGGATATAGAATCACTGCATATAGTTCTGTCGATGGTTAGCAGACCATAGGCATCCCGGAAAGCAATTTCCTTTCCTAATGTGTCTTGAAATTGTACATAAGGATGCCTTTATACCTATAGACTCATCATAATATCCTGGATGTTGAAAACCAAAGCGTTATTTCATAAGTGCTCTACCATAATATTCTTCGGTCCCCCTCCCCCGGAAGTAGAATGAGCACGTTTAACCGTATTGTGCCTCCCACAAGCAAAAATCATCAGCTTCATTTGGTTGCTTCCTACGCCTTACTCATGTATTGGGCGACAAGTTTTTCAGATCAATAATACAACTAAGTTGCTTAACTGCTTGCACAGACTCGCATCCTACCAGATGGAATACTTACAGACCTTAAGAGTTCCCATAATCCCATTCAGCTGCCACAAGTCTCCCAGAGGTATATTCTTTCGTAGTGCTCTGGTGAGTCAGTATTTTGACACGACTTCGATTTTTTAGTCCTTTACATAACTCAGTCCTGGGATAATTGCACTCTTCGTTTCATATAGAACTAACTGTGTTCTTGGTCTGCGTTGATTTTTTTTTCGTTAAATAATGTACATGAAAGTTATTGGCACAATGCTTGCAATTCAATTGTTTCCTACAGAATGGTTGAAAATAAACAATCGCAACGAAAAACTTATATGAGAACATATTTCAATATGCGAGCCCGAAATTCCATCTTTTATTGGCTAGATGAAGCACCTGTATTTATTCCTCAAAGCATTGATAAAATACTGTGCGAAAAATATAATCGCTAAACATAACGTTTAATCTATTATATTATTATTTTCTCTAATGGCGGGCTTTAGGCGTTTGTAGGCGTTGGCCATTACTAAAGCCGGAAGCAGCCGTCTCCTTTTATGGAGACATCTTTTAGGTGGGCCACGCGTGCCTCCTATGAAGGGACGAACAAATTAAATCCATGCCTTCTCCGGAATTTAAACGCGGGCCTTTCGGTTGGGCAATCAGAGTCACTAATCATTTTCTCATCAGCGAGGCATTCCATTATATCAAGTGCTACTGATAAGAAATTTTCTCCTCCCTCACTCTCGTACCTTTGTGGTTTACTTAGAAGCACATCCTACTTCCATCGGAACCTCCGAAACACGAATCCGGGCGAAAGCATTGCTGATTGTCTTACCTTTGCTGCTCCGATAAATACGTAAACCCTCTGCAAGTGGCGCCCAACTAAAATGTGGTAGACGACAATTTTTCACCTGGATTTGGAATTTATTATTCCACCTCCCGAGTGGCCCTTTAAGCGAGGGGAAAATATCAGGAATTTTCTCCTTCCTCACCACGTGCCCTTTGATGAAATTGGAAGCACAGCTGGCTGGCAATCAGAAAGTCCAACGTTTGAAATCTGACTGGTGCATCGCTGATTTTTCCTGTTTGCTGCTCTAAATAAATGTTTAATCGCATTACAAACTTTTCTTTCATGAGTAAGAAAAAACTAAATGTTCAAATTTTACTAGCATTTGTCCTTCTGTTTTAGTATCCAAAATTCAGTGTTTCAAAATTCTTTTGCTTGCGCAACTCTTTTAAGATAAAAACCCATTCTAGTGCAAAGATTAAGGGAGCGGGAAAAATAAAGAGAAATATCCTTAGTGAATATTCTTCAGATACCGCATAAGATTGAGCTTACTTTCATTTATCCGCTTTTACTAAAATTGCTCCTAACATTTTTCCCAGTAAGATTACTGTACAATTTCAGAAAGTGGTTTTTATGAACTTGTGTTTTCTTCCCCAGATACAGGTACTACCAGAATGTTTGTACCTCAAGTTATTCTTACGTGTGGTGGACATGGGAGAGATGGGAGCAAGAAATCGATTGGATGGCCCTAAATGGAATAAATCTAGCGCTTGCACCGCTCAGGAGGCAATTTTTGCAAAGGTAAATTAAAATAAATACCATGCTGAAAGAATGACTTCGTAAGCTTTAGAAATAGTTTATTACAAAATTTTGGGGAACATTTTATAGATCTTGATGAATGACAGAAGACAACAGATTTGAGAGCTAGTTATACTATCAATTTTGAGCTGAAATGTGGTAGCCTCAAAATAATAATATAGTTAGTTTTGAGTTGCGAAACTTTAATAACAGAACTGCGAAACTTTAATAAGACAATCATTTAAGGCAGTGTCAAGTATTACTTCACACGGTATCGGGTATTCGGAGATTGCTCTGAATTCTGTTTGTTAAACATTGATCTCAGATATGTATTTCCAGTGACGAAGTTTCTTAAAACAAGTGTTGTGTAGAGAATTTGTCTGATAACGGTATAAAAACTAGGTGAATGATTTTCTGATTTATAGAAATTTTAATTTTATTTGATTCTGAATTATTTATTTTAAGGCTTTAATTTTGGGGAAAAACAGATGCTTCTGGGAATATTATTTAGTTTAAAAGAATATTATTTATTTTCCTCTATTTGCAAATCTTGTACAAACTTTGATTCATTGTGAAAGAAGCAGGGAAAGGGAGGCAATTTTTGCCAAGTCATGATTTCGCGCGCTTTGTCCTTTAGAATGTTCTAGAAGGATTTTTCATTGTGTAGTTGACCTTAAGAGAGGAAGTACGTGACAAAAAGGTCAAAGGTTGCTACTTGTCTTTCAATGTAAGTCATTCAGGTTTTTGGCGATTGAGGGTCCGGTTGTTGGCTAAGTGAAGAAGGGCGCGCATGCGCGATCACCCTTATTTCCGCATTCTGGAGTTGAAAACGCAATTTTGCCAAAATTAAGGGGGCGATAAGTGAAGCCATAGTGGGAGCCCCGCGTTTGTGAAGGAGACGAAGGAAATTCGAGTTGGATTGACTCACTTACTGACTGGCGTGTGGAACTTACTTGGGGACTTTACTCGTGAAGCTTGCTCTTGGGATGAGTAAGAACAGCGAGCCGTAATTTGCCTAGAAAAAAACGTTTCTGGCCGGAAGCTGCAAACACGCTCCCTTGCCGCGTTCCTGGTAAAGAAGGCGAAATTTGAACGAGTTACCTGCGTGTTGACTTAGGACTTTCAGGACCAAGCGGATAGCCGTCCTGGGCAGCAGTGCTCCTGTTTCTGTTTTACAGAGGTAAAATTAGTTTCGTCACTATGAAAACCAGTTACCTTGCGTGTTGACTTTAGACTTTCAAGACCAAGCGGATAGCCGTCCTGGCAGCAGTGCTCCTGTTTCTGTTCTACAGTGGTAAAATAACGTCGACATTATGAGAACCAGTGTAAAGATGAGCCCCGGCCGACGTCAACGCTTATTAAGATACGAGTCCTCCACTTCAAGATGTCCAACCAAGTTAAGTGCTATTTTTTTTTTTGTGTTTGAACTTGAGTGGGTTTTCAATAATTTTTCTTGGAATGTAAAAACAGCAGGTCGACTCTTGATTATTCTCATTCTCAGGCCTTAAATTGTTTCCCTTTCCCCTTTTAAATTACCAGACAAACCTTAAGTTTTTTTTATATGATTTAAATGAAAAAAAAAGGGTAAATGACAAATTGACGACTTCTCCTTAGACTCTCAGATGAGGTTAAGATTTTTTTTTATTGTGATGTAATTGAATAAACTGATATTTAATCTGGAAACCTATTACAGTATGTTTTCCTTTATATATTTAATATGTTTTTTCCTATATATCTTGTATATATGTTTTTCTTATGTTTTCGATCCTCTCACGGCGCGGTCCCGGGATGGCATTTTTTTTCACAACGCAAAATGCTTTAACCGTTTCACTATACGATCACTAAAAGTTTGGGTAATTAGCAAAAATTCTTAAGAGTTTAGTTTCCTCCCTAAGAGGAAGTAGAAACCCTTCACGGCAAGTAGGTTCATATTTAACATTTAACATATACGAATTTCAGATATAACATTGGTGCCGTGAAGTAAGCTTCATAGTAGTTTCTTATTTAACAATGGTACCTTGAAGTAAAGCTATTTAACCTTGGTGCCGAAACTTCTATATAACACAAGTTGCAGAATAAACTTTGTCAAATACTTGCAGCTTGAAAGTTTTTAAAACAAGATGCAGAATTTTATGAAAACCGTATCGGTTCAGTACCAAACACAGAAGAGATCTTGTATGGCAGCTCAGAGTATTCACCGGACAATTTCGTAAAAACAAAATCTAACTTTTCGTACGAATCCGAAGATTAGGAATACCAAATAATAAATTACTCGGTTTACTTTAATTAGTAAAAACGAAATATTTTGTACCTTTATGCAGAAAATTCCAGAAGATATGCGCAATAAATATTTTACCGACCATTTACAAATTTAATGATAGATGTTGTTTTACATAACGCAGAAATATTGATCGCCAAAACTGACTTTTAGCTGCGCCTCCCACTTGCTCTTAGAAATTTTAAATTTTAACCCATAGCAGGCATGAGAAAATTACCTAAATCAATTAACTTATAATTTTTCAGGAAGTCTCTGGTTTTTAATTCATTTAAAGGTACTATTTTGCGCTACTGTCCGGAGGGACCACATAAAAAATTTTAACTTTTCTTTAAAATTTTTTCGAAACTTTTCTTTACTTACTGTTTTGAGACCATATTTACCAGCCAACAGCAACAGAAAAGCCTAGGATTGATGTTTAAAAGCATTGACAGTTTTGTTTCAACACCGAGTATAATTTAAAATCAGAAAAATTTTTAGTATTCATACTAACATTATTCAGCATCTGCGATATTTAAAAAGCACTGAACAATTTCGGTTTCAACGCTGAGTATAATTTAACTATGAAGTCAGAACGAATTGTGTAGTATTTCAAATAACACTTTTCAGAAAAACTAGTTAAAATGTAGAACCGATGTTTAGAAAGCAATGAACAATTTTCTGTCAACGCCGAGTATAGTTTAACTATAAAATCAGAACAAATATTGTTGTATTTCTACTAACATTTTTCTGTAAAACTAGCTAAACGTCTAAGATCGATGTTTATTGAACACTTTTGTTTTAATACCGAGTATAATTTAACTGTAAAGTCAGAACGAATTTTGTAGTATATTTACTAAGATTTTTCAGTAAAACTGGCTAAAAGTTTAGAATCCATGTTTAAAAAGTACTGACACTTTTGTTTCAATTTTTTCAACACCGAGTGTAATTTCAGAACAAATTTTGCATTATTTGTACTAATAATTTTTAGTATAATTAGCTAATTTCTGTAATACTACTGTTATAAGCTAACTGAGAGTTTAGTTACTGTTACATATAATGAACACAAACAATTAAAACAAATAAAAAATTTTTAATTGGTTTGGTTTATGTGGTTACGGCAAAGCCTCTAGGACTATCTGCCTAAGGGGAGGGATACCATCTTAGAGGACTTTCTAAGGAAAACTGGCTCGTATACATGATGCACATGGGGAAATCCATGAAAATGCCCATGCAGCCAGCCCGTTCACGGGTTTCGAACCTCGCACCTAACTACCAGTGTTCAGCAACTTTACCGCTCGGCCGCTGGTAGGTTCTTTTTTTTAATTGGTCGAAAACTGACGTCTTTAAATTTTGCTAGCATGCGGTTGATACGATAGTTAAAATTTCAATAGAAATTCAGCAGCATTCTGTAACTAAAAGTGTATTGAAATGTTAACTTCCTTTCCTTTCTACTTCTACTTTCAACAAAAGAAAACTAATAAAGGCAAACTAAAAACAAATAAACAAATAAATATATAAATATAAAAGTAGTTTTTGTAATTGAAGTTTTTATAAACATGAAAGTATATATTTTTTCCTAATTAATTATGCCACCATTAGGAGTATTATAAAAATAATCTGCGGAAAAAGATACGAGCCTGATAGGTGAAAAATACTGAATATTTTAAGGCCGAATTTCCCTTTTCAGAAATACAAATTTCATGGAACATTCAAAAACAGAAATTATCTGTTTTCTGAGTTTTAGAAATCCAACCAAACAGAAAATTCCAGATACACATAATCATTTCTCTGAGATTATTTCTGCGCATCAGTGCCCGAACATTAAAGTTACTGGCACTGGTAATTCCACGCGTGTTGGGTCTTCTCAAATGGATTAATGGCTGCATCAGAGTTTTCATGGTTTTGAATAAATCATCCACAAAAAGCAATCACTCCCTTAGGCAGATAGCTCTCACGTGCTTTGCTGTAATCTAAATAGTATAATCCTGATATAATTTCAACGAGAATGGAACTTGAATTACCTGCAGAGAAGAGTTCTTGAAGCCGCCCAACCGGAATTGTGGTTAGTGATTGATTGCCATAGCGAAGGCCTGGGTTCGAATCCAGGAGATGGCATAGATGTTTGTAAATGTAAAGCTTTCTGGTGAGGCATGGAGGTACTCTAAATATGCAGTGAACCGAAAGTCCTCTCGAGAAGTTGGTTGTAGGGGAAGAGGGGGGGGAGATCCTTGGAACCCGTCTCCTGGGTTGTTCTCTGTCTACATTTTGAGGAGTAGAATTGAGATAAGGTTGGGCTGTCACCTATATGGTGCTCAAAGCTCTTTCCAACGACAGGCGCATGACTCCTTGCCACGATTAATATTGTGGGCTTGTGCTGACCTTTGTCAGACAAGTGAAATTGGTAACAGCAACAACAGCAGAATGCTTAAAACTGAACTTTGGTGTTATATTAACATCAAAAGGAATTCTTTCTATTCGCCTAAGGATATTTTGGTGCGCAGATATATTTCAAGATCAGCCTAGGGGTTGGAACTAAAAATTCTAACTCGAGCAGTGCCGTTGATTAATGAAACATCTGAGCTAATGAAGTGTCTAGGGCAGGTGTTTTCAAACGGTGGTACGCAAGAGAAAAATAGGTGGTACGCAAAGAAACATAGCAAAATATAGGTAAAATAGAGGAAAATAGGTGATACGCAAAGAAAGAATTTTTAACTATTAAATTCAAAAATATAAACTCCAGCATCCTGATTGAGTTTTTTTTTCTATCAACACTCCTAAATTTATGCGATCTGAGCTTTGTTCAAGAGTGGTGGTGGTGGTAGTAGTACTTTGTAGTGGTGGTACTAAAGGTTGTCAATTTTTGTTTAGATGGTACGCGTTAGTCAAAAGGTTGAGAACCGCTGGTCTAGGGTGTACCTGCATAATTATTTACGTTGCTATGTTCTTAGCCTGAATGGACAACTTAGTATTCAATAAACATTTTTTATGCAGCATTTGTTTTACATGAACACAGATCAAAAGATTATGTATAATTAAGAAAAAAATTTTACCTAACAAAGAATTCAAATCATTAGACAGTAGCAGCACAATAGAATATTTTAATCGCAGCAAATAAAAATAAGCGAGTTATGAAACGGAGCATAAAACCCTAGAATAAAAATAAAAAAGGGGGTTGCAATTCAATTTAAACAAATTCTGTTGGTGAAGGCATAAACAGACAACCGACAATACAACCCATAAATTACGAAAAATTAAAAAAATTAAATGGAGAAAATCGATTAAATGTGAAAATTTTTCTTAAACAGTATTACAATTTTTAAAAAAGTAAAAAAGAACGAAAAGGGAGTTTTTCACAGTTATTGTTTTCACAAAAAGAAAATAGTTTAGAGGTTAAAAACGTTTACAGTTGAGTGTTTTGAATCTTGAAAATTAATATTTTTAATGCAATTTCCACGCTTACAGGCAAATCACCAGTTCTTATATTCCCATTCGACATGGGCGTATGGTCTTCCGTTTGTCTTTAAAATTGTAAGAGTAGATGTAACTGATTTAAAGCAATAAATGCACTTCTTAATAACCTACATTTCTTTTAAATTTTTGATAATAAACGAATTAATTTAATTTCGAATGCACTTAATTAATAATTATTATTAATTAATTAATATTAATTAATAACAATTAATAATTAATAATATCCAGTTGATAATTTTACTAACATTTGCACCATTATTGTAATTAGTAAAAGATGTTTTTAACGCATACATTTCGTACCTCGGATTTAAAAAGTTTCTGTGTTTTTTTTGGTGAGAGGGTAAGCAAAAAAATTAAATAGTTATTGCTTTCAGTTTCATACTCTGTATATTGCTTTGCTGCTTTTATGTATGGTTTTCAAAACCATTTTATTATAAGGCCGTCATTTCTGATAATTAATGTACAGCTGAAAAAAATCCAAAAATTTTTTATAGGTCTTTAAAGAGCTGAATTTTACTGACCACGATATCAATGTTTTCTTCACTGGTCCAGCTTTTCTCGCTTGGTAAGTCCAAAGACTAAAATTGAAAATCTTGCATTTATTTTACTCTTAATTTTATTTCCTAAATCAGTTGGCATCAGGCTTCTATAATATGAAAAAAAAAAAAAAAAAAAAAATTCAGTGTCACCGTATAAATACAGAGGTGGAAAGAAGTAATCGCAACAAATCCGGCGGACGAAAATTTCCAAGCTTTTCTTTCTCCCCCCCCTTTTTTTAGATATTATCTTTAAGACTACCTTTCAGCCCTTCTGTATGATTTTGGTCTTTTGTGGAGATGCTCGTCTAAGAAAAATACTGATGTTTTTCAGTGGAGGTTGTTTAAGGAAAGTTATCACTGCATGTATTTTTCTATAGTTTAAACTTCTGGCGCCTAAACGTTTGGTGATGATAAAATATTCGAATAAGCTGAAGGAAAATAAGAATTAAAGAGAACAAATTTTTAAAGCTCATGAATAACGTGGTTATAAAGCCCTTATTAGACCTCCTGGAGAAGGCATGGATGTTTGTAAACGTATAGTATCTGTGCAGCATGGAGGCAATCTAAACATGCGGCGAGCCAAAAGTCTTCTCGAGAGGTTGATGGTAGGGGAAGAGGAATAGGAGACCCTAGGACCCATCCCCCCGGGATGCTCTCTTTCAAAATAGGGAGGCAGAACTGAGCTAAAGTTGGACTATAACCTATATATAGTGTTCAAGGCTCTTGCACATTTAACGCGCATTTGACAGGCGCATTGACTTCTTGCCACGATAAATGTGGTGGGCTTAACATAGTGCTGCTTTGTGAAAATCATGCTTGTTCAACAGAAATCGGCTTTTTTGCGTCTAATTTATGTTTGCTTCTATTTGCGCTCTTACATCTATAAAAGTACAGCTAAACTCATATTTATTGCAATAGTAAAAAAGCAACAGATATTTCTTTCGAAACGCTAATAAAAAAAATTTCCAGATTATCTTTTCAAACATTAATAAAAGTCCAGTTATAGCTGTGAATAAAATCTTTCGAATAAAATTAAAATACATCCAAAATATGAAACAGGCATTTGCGATGTTGAAAACCGCTGAAATTCTTCTCCACTTAAAAAAAAAATTACTGAAATACTTTCTTTTTACTTCATAACATTTTTATAACTTTAAATGACATTATAAATGTTAATAAATGGATTAAATATACCAATTTTAACAGCTGAGTAAAGTTAAGCAATCAAATAATTCAATAAAGCAATAGTATTCTTTTGGGAACTGCCCAAGTGTCGAGGTGTTGTCTTCCATCATGATAATGCTTGACAGCACCTCGACATCTGGGGAGTTCTGGGTGCTTTGTTTCAAAGTTTTCTTTTAAAACTGCCATTTGGGAACAGTATTTTTCCTAATTTATCGACAAAAATTCATAGTATACAATTCTTTTGTAGTCTGATCATAGAAAAGGACACTCTCGATGTTACTTAAAGAAGTTTTTTTGGCTTACCCCATCAATTTTTTTGGTAACATTATTGCATAGCATCCACTTCTCATCTCCAGTAATGACCCGTATAAAAAAATTAAGCTTTATTTTTTGCCAGCAAATAATCACAAGCCGAAACTTGAGGAAGCATATTCTATGCTTTTAAAATATAAAGTACCTATACATCGGAGCAGCTTACATGCCAAAACTTATTCAAATGGTCATGTACTGTATTTTTTAAATAGATACTTAGTCTATCTGATAGTTCCTGAACTACAGTTCAGGGTGGATTTTCATGGATAGCTTCTTTTAATAAGTCTTTATTTACGCAGGATGATCGTCCAAAGCGAGCATTATTTCCAAGGCTGAAATTTCTATACTTAAACACCCGAAACGAGCTTTGAACTATGTCATCAGAAACAGCACTTTGTTTATATATTGCTCAAATTTTACAAGTATTCTGAGCAAATTTTTTCTTCCTTAAATTCAAAGACTATAACATGACGAAAATGAACATCTGGGGTTTTCATTCTTTATGAAACAAAAATAATGCTACAATAGATACTACAATTACACAGTGTGAACAGAAAAGACCTATTTTAAGTATTAGCTTCAATCAGGGTCACTCCTTATTAGCAGTAGCAAAGTAATTAGAAGAAAACGCACTACGATTTGGAAAACCGCAGTCCCTTTCGGATGGCTCAATATACATTATTAAATTTTCACACTTACAGTTTGTAATTAATTTCTGATTTAAATGCAATGTTGAATTGATTGGATTTTTTTATCTAGGCAGATCATGCAACGGATATCTACTAAATCAAAGGGGCGCTTTCATGAAACACATTTAAAGAAAAGGGTCTCGTATTCACGTTACACATACGAAAAATCACGAAAATTTCCATGCAACCAGCCCACTCACAGGGTTTTGAGCCCAGCTCGAATCCAACGTTCAGCTATTTTGCCACTCGGCAGCTGCGGACAAAAGAGTGAATCTAAAACATGCTATAAAAACATACAAATAAATTAACACCGAATTTAACTATCCTAGAAAGAAATCTAACTTATTCCAATAACCAAAATTCAGAATATTCAGAATTCAGTTTACTGTGGAATATGAAACTTTTTCTATGCGTTTCAACATTCTGTTGTGTAATGGAATTTAAATAAGTAAATGCACCTAAATACAGTATTTAAATGAAGCAAGCTTTACATTAATTCATTATAGTAACTTTTATAAGACTTGAACGATGAAAATAGCGTGCATATTGCAACTACATAACCTATTTATTAATTTCCATACCTACGCACATTTTATCTGAAAGAAAATGGTCTGGATGAAGTCATTTCTGGATAAGGAAAACTCCACTTCCTTTTCCCTAAATTTTATCATTTTAAAAAGGATTTAATTGAAGCAAATGCAGCTAAGTATTTTATCAATTTCTGCAAATAATATAAAGCTACTTAAAAAGAATTATTCGTGTAGCTTAATTAATAGTGTTTCTATTAAGATTTTTCTGGAAAACATAAGGTATTTTTCTTAATATTCTGATGAAATTTCCTCAAGATTTATGGATGTCGATAAACTACCTCAATTTTCCTACCACCTCGTCCATATGCTAACACTTTCGTAAATAACTAAATTGTTGTGCTGGGCTAGGTATCAAGTTACGGTAATGAGGGAAAATAGATCTGCTTTCAAGAAATAAAAGTTTTTAGTACAGCGTCAGATGTCCTGGTATTTAATAAAATTTCTCCGAAAGCGCATTAAAGACAAACTCCCCAGAAAAGCACCTTGAATATATATTAATTAAAATAATCTCCTTTGCTTTATTTATGCGTTTTTCTCTTGCATCGGTTCATTTTTTACCAGCGCAAACATGTCTTAACGAAGCGTCGTGAATGTTTGCTAGGATTAGACATGGTAATCTGTGCAGAAATATGACATCAGCAAAAAAAAGGTATAAGGCCTTCTATAAGCTCTTACTTTTTTCTAAGCACTTTTGTTTACTTAGGTATAATTTAAATGGCATCAGTTGAATGCAAAACACTCAAATTTTTTCTATCATATGTAAGCCAGTTTAGGTTATACTTGTTGCATTCATTAATTACGCACCCGAACGTGCGAAGCGAACTGAGGAATTTTTTATTTTAATCCTCGAGTACTTGCGTAAAATAATATACTTAATAATCTTTTTCAAATTAATTCTCATTTAAATTAATTGCTTCGTCATACTGTTACTTCGGCTTGTGATATAGCGAAAGAATTTTTAAACATTTCTGCATTAAATTTTGATTGAATAAAAAAGGGAAAAAATACTTTTAATACTCTGCATACACTCTGCATTTCAGAGAATACATGCAGAGAAGTTTCTACGTATTTTAATCCTTGAATAAACATTTTTCCTTCTTATTTATTCGGGCATGAAGTTTTTTCCCCTGAAAAATTAATTTTAATTTAAGCCTATATACTTAAATTTTGAATTAGTGTTCCAAGTGTTGAAATTTTGTTTAGGATCACAGAGGATAGAACTTATTATACTATTTTCTTATGCTTATAGAATCTTGTTTCAGCACAGGAAATGAGGATTCTTTTCTTTCATTAAAAAATTTTTAGAAACACAACACTGAACTTATTTCTTTGCCAGTATGTCTTCTACCTAAAATGATAGAATTTATTAAAGCCTAAGCCATCACACGAGTTTCGGATACAAATATAAGTGTTTCTATTATTACTGTTCTAAAGAAATAGCAGTTATATAGTATTAAACAATGTTATTTTAAATTACAATAGTGAATAAACATCATAATATTACTTATAGTAAGCAGTAATATTTCAAGATAACACTTCTTTTTATCGTAATATCATCTATATTTGTTTTTCAAATGACTTTTATTATTCTCTCCCAATTACCCTTCTAAATATGGGGGGAAAGGAGGAAAAAAAATATAAAAATAAATAAGTAAAATTTTCATCTCTATCTAAACATTTCTCAATTTTGGAATTCATTATTTCTTGGTATGAAACTTTGATTACAGTATACAACGTCTCCAGTATTACTAATTGCAGAGTTTCCATAAATTTGCATCTCCGCTTCTTAATACCTGTAGAAACTGAAGAAATTTAAAGTCAGACATTCGGTCTGGTAGCACATGTGAATTGAAAACGGTGCTGACAATGATTGCTGAGATCTTTTTTGAATATAGCGTGAATCATCTCGTGATCTAAGGGTGAGTTGGCATTAAAGGGTGAGTCAAGTACATTCACCTTCACCAAGCTCAGCTATTCTACTGAAATTTATTAAAATAAGTTTAAAAGAAACTTTGACAGTCCAGCAATTACATTACATTCTCATTTATCAATTTATATTTTTTTAATTTTCTTTTTATCCTAGACTGTAAAGGACAACATACATCATGCAAAATAACTGCGTTTCGTAAATTTTTTGCCCTCTCCCTAAGTCTCATTTTTCTCAATTTGCCTGCTAAAATTTGTTGCAAAAATATGATTAAATACAGCTAATAAATCCCGTCTTGTTACGTACTCTGGAATGGGAAAGTTAGGTTTCTTACAGACTTCATGGACTAAGTGAGATCTATGCAAGCGTCTCAATAAACAAATAGGAATTATAATTCTGTTGTTTCTCTGAATCCTTGGCAATACTTGACATTAAGAATTTTATAATAATTAAGAGGGTAATTGAAACAATTGACGCAAATCTCTTTTTTATCATATTCATAGATGGAATAGTAACTGAGGCTTGCGCTACTTTAATTATAGGAAATAACTTCCTATTTCATAAATGCCAGTCAAATTAATTCCAATAAAATTCTTAAATCCTTATGTGCAAAATACTGTAGAGGTGTCGCCCTGTTGGCATTGTGATCGCTGTCATAGCCTTGGAACCTTGTTCAAACTCCAGAGATGGCATGGATATTTTTAGGTATGTAGCCTTTTTGCGGCTGAGGGGGGGAGGCACTAAAATACCTTCCAGCCGAAGGTCCTCTCGAAAGGATAATAGAAAAGGAATAGGAGTGGGAGCCTTGGGATATGTCTCCCAGAAGATTTTCCTTCAAAGTTCAGGTGAAGCTGGACAAATTCGTGCCGTAACCTATAAAATGCCCATGGTCTAAAGCAATATGAGAGCAACGCTTGTCTTTTGACCACGACAGAACTCGTGGACTTGATTTGATGTTACGATCAGACAAGTGAAAAAAATTGTAACAATAACAACATTATAGTTATGCTGCAAACAAAATTCCTACTGTCATCTATATTTATTTAATCTTCAAATTAGGACTTCAAATTGCAATCTTATACTTACATGCATATAATATTTCTTACATTTATTACTGTATTTCAATGGCCTTTCAATATTTCAGGAACAGGATGGGAAACCTGCAAGCCTGGGTAGGACCATTAACAGAAAATTGGCATGAGATACAAGTCAAACTGCAACATCGAATTCTGGAACGGATGAGAGACTTTGGAATGACACCTGTTCTTCCTGCATTTAGCGGACGCGTTGTGCCTGCTTTCAAAAGGTACAGTTCCAATGTGTATTATTAATACACTCTTTTTGCGAAAAACTCGAAGCACCATGAAGGAAGTGGTTGTTTTTGATGAAATTAAATATGTGTATAGTTCATACACAGATAATGAAATGATAAAAAAATCAAGGTCATAGTATCTGTTCAGTTTACGGCTCACAATCACCCATTGAATGTTCAAATTAGTAGTTGATCGAACCGCCCCTGCGGCAATGCATGCTTGAATTCGTCGAGGCAAGGAGTGGTAGAGGTTCCTAATGTCATCCTGCGACACATTCTGCCAGGCATTCATCAGTTGCCGCTCCAGATCTACGATATTTTGTGGTGCCAGAATCTAACGGCCTACCATGTTCCAGACATGCTCGATTGGTGAAAGGTCTGGTGACCTTGTTGGCCAAGGAAGAGTATCAACCGCACGGAGACAGTCCAGAGATATGCTAGCGGTTTGTAGCCTGGCATTATCTTGTAGGAAAATGGCCTCAGATGACGTGCCATGAAGGGTAATGCCGCAGGATGGCATCAACATATCGTTGAGCTGTTAAAGATGTACAGATGATGAGTAACGATGACCTGGTGTCATAAGAAATAGCACCCCCACACCACCACACCAAGGGTTATGGCTGTATGCCTTTGTAAAACAAAGGCTGATTGAGACCGCTGGCCCGTCCTCTCCAGACACGAACACGGTGGTCATCTGCTTCAAGAGTGAAGCGGGATTGATCACTGAACACTATACGATGCCAATCTGATGACAGCCATGAAGAACAGCTGCGACACCACTCTGAGATGGTGGACGGTACCATGGGAGGTATAGACGTGGCTGTAGTGCGTTGAATAGTCGACAATGATACCGTAGGGGCGGTTCGGGCCTGGCGAAGAATCATCCTATCTTGCCTCGCGTTTGTGATTCTTGGCCTTCCAGAGCCTTCATTTTGTCGGGAATTTCCTTCTAGCAATCATTGCTGCCAACATCTTTGCACAGCAGTGTCTGAACACTGCAGGTGGCGGCCTGTTGCTCGGTATGACCACCCAGCTTCATGCAACCTTACAATGCGACCACGTTCAAAGTCGTCCAGTTGTCTGTAAGGTCTTTGATATCGTCGTAATGGCATCTTTAGTTGCTTCTTTACGGAATTACAATGGCAGCAACAAAAAAGATAAATTTTCCGCCTCTGTTAGTAGTTTTATATATTGCGAATGGCGCACTAGAAATGCGCTCTATGATCGCAATTCCTGTTCATTTGACTTGAAACTTTGATCATTTGCACGTTCGATCAAGATGTTTTTTGCATACCAAATTTCGTCACGATCGCAAAAGCTCTTCTTGGTGCTTCAATTTTTTTGCAAAAGAATGTAGATAATGTTTGCAGCATAACTTTAATATTAGCATAAGCTTCATGAGTTCCGATGTGAGCCACTTATTCATCTCTTCTGCGCTTAAAAATAATCCTTTTCTAAAACGTTAATGCAAAACATCCTTACTTAATAACGGATAAAAGTAAACCCTAGTTTGGCAGCGATTTCAAATGAAAAAGCACAAAAGATTTCAAAACGAAAAAAAAGGGTAAAAAATGGCGTCTATTTCCCTTGGGTGTAATTCTGCCCACGCGTATAGCTCCAGTTTTCTTACATTCAATCTAAATAAAATGGATACGTTACGCTGATGTTTGAGCAAAATAGGAGAGTATTTTAAAAATAAATAAATGGGTAAAAGAGAGAGACAGAGGAAAGAAATATATAAGATAAGGTGAGTAAACATTTTTAGAATAGTCAAGATTGAAAATAAACCTTTTAAACCTTTTAACTAAAACTGGTAGATTTTTTTTTGAACATAGAAGGCTTCGAAAAAAATCTAATTCACTATTTGAAAAAGTTTTTTTTTTAAATATATAAATTTAGTCGAAGGAGTATAATGAAAGACCGATACCTTAATTATTTTTTTAGGTTTTATATTTGAATACATTATTTTTGGTCTTATAGTTGGTCCTAAGATGAATTTCTTTACGCAGCTCAAATAAAAATATATATCCCTTATTTATTTTATTTTCTGAAATGATTTTGAACTGTTAATCTTTGCTATCATCATGAATAGAATCTCGAAAGCTCAATAGTTATTTCATTTCTTTCTTACTTTAACGATCATTCGGGATTTAAATATTTTCTCTCATCATTCTTGAAGCAGTACTCTGTTTTGAAGCTAAGTAAACTGTGATGCTGTAAGCAATTTAAGACATTCCTCCTATATTATTCTTGCGATTATTACGTTACCTGTCCGAAACTCTGAATCGATAATACATTCACTAGATTTGATTCCCGAAGAATACATCATTAATTCAATAACAGTCAACAACTCAATAAGTCAATAAGACTTCTAAACTACATTTTATGTCTTCTAAATGAAATAACTCAGTCAAACTTTTAATTTATAAGGAATATAGAATAGGTTTTGTGAAAACGTTTTCCAGAATCAGTATCATTTCTCAAGAAAATTATTAAACTGATCCTATGTAAAAATTTTTAGTAAAGGGAATGAACTGCAAGCTAATTTTCTGTGTGATGTCAGAAATATATTACTCAATGAATAGCTCATTTTAGACTCATAGAACTCCCTCCCCAAACAAAAGAACTACTTTTTTTTTCAGAACGAAACAAAACGAGATTCAAACCAGAAGACTTTCAGGCTACCATCTAATAGGAAGCTCTGAAGTAAGAAACCTGATTTTATTGCAGACCTAAGCAAAAGGAAACTCAGATATGAAATCTATCTGTTACCATCTAATTGGAAGAAAATTGACGGAAGCTGATATCCTTTTGTCGTAATTGTTAAAATTAATTGCAGCAATTACTGAAGATTCGGAGTCAGCTCTCTGGGACACCAAATCTTCAGAAATTGCTTTTGGGTCAAGGAAAGAAGTAACCTTTAAAGAATTATCAGTTTTGTGTAGATGAAATGAAATAAGTGAAGCAGTATATTATAGGTCAGCTCGACTACATCCTGCTTTTTGTTCAACAACAATCTAAAACTGGAGAAGTGAAAGAAATGAAATCAAGTACTTTTCTTTTCGTGTCTGTCTAAAAACCATAACTCAAATCAGTAGCAGAAATTTCCTTTTGTTTAATGATGTTGAGCACGTTATCATCAACAGGCACTAATAAAGCGTATCTTCTGTTCATTTTTATACATTATAATAAATAAAAGCTATCAAAAATTAGGAAATATTTGGCTTTTAGTAAGTTTTAAACTTAACGCTATTGTACAAAATAAATGTCTAAATTTACTTTTCAGTTTTCTAGGTAGAGGCCCTTGAATTGGATGAAACTAGTACAGCGTTAAGCCTCAAATTCCAGGACAGAAAAACGTTTTAGCAGAGCCTTCAAATCTCTGAACGGCACATCATCATCGCTGTGACATTAATCTTACAAATGCTTCTTCAGTTTCTGAAATAAAAAGAAATCATTTGAGCCATTAGAGAAAAAGGTGAAATCAACAATGGTAAATAGCAATCTGGGAATTTTGAGCTTTATGTGCTGAAACATTGTCATTCAAAAGCAACAATTTCTCAGGGGTTTGCCCCAGAGTTTTTCCCTCAGCGCTTTTCCCTTGTTTTGGTTGAGTCAAATGATTAGACAATAATCATCTAATTACTGTGATATCATGTGATATAGATTTCGCAAAAAATGTCCTTTTTCATCTCCTCAAGAAATGATGCCCAAAATTTTAATAGCAGAGACTGCAAACGTTCGTTTATGAATGTTGCCTTTCATGTTATGCTTTCCTTTGTCAAGAATTCAGATACCAAACGATAATTTATATTTTCAGTACAACAGATAGTACTGATTGACAACATTTAATAGTCTCTTAAAAATCAAACAACACTCGCTGCGTATGTTATCATACTTTCAGTGATGGATGCAATCAATTCACCGCGTTTCGTGATCTTACAATAACTAAATCATATATAGATAGCTTAAGAATGCCCTATCTTCATTTTTTCTAAACCAAATATCTGGAAACATTGGCTATTGCTAAAGCCTTAGCAGGCACATATGTCACCTCGTTCAAATTCTAAGACAGCAAATGTTTATTGATTGGTTTAATCAGGTATGGCAATGCGTTGAGAGTATCTGCTTAAGGAGGGATATTTTCGTTGTCCGTTGTTTAGTAAAATTAGTCGCATGAGTGGGAGCAAAATTGGGGATAAATTACGAGTGTACAGTGGCTTTATTCCTTCAGCTTCGAGGGGCACCACATGGCCAGACAGCAGAACATTTCTGGCATGCCATTAGCTGCATTTTCCAGCTGATCATATTTTAAGAAATCATATTGGCAGAAATATTCCTTAATTTTTAGAGAGACACCCTGTGTTGATCCGGTGCTAAGTCAGTTTAATTCATTTCAATATGTAGGATTCATTGTATTAATTTCCGGAGCAGGAAACTATTCGCTTCCCTTTCACTTCGAAATGAGCAAGATTCTGCCAGCTGCTAATTGTATGTGTTGACTGCTATATCTAAGAGCGCATAATAGCAGTGTTGAATGCGATCACTCCTTAAGATAAGACATTACCATCATAGCTTATAATAATACTAAATAGAATGAAAAAGACATATTTAAATTCTTCTGTTGAATATTCCGCAATCTTACCTCAAAATTTCTACCTTCACGCTGTTTTATGAATTGTTGAGCAGTTCAGTATAATCTTCCCAAAATTATCAATTAGTCGTCAATATAAATTTAAGATCCTTCTTAATACTAGCTGCTGCACGCTTGTGTAATATCTGTGATATGACTGTTTCATACCTTTCATTTTCTTCAGTCCAATTTTTGCATCGAGTTCTTGTTAAGATTCGACAAGACTTCATTGGCCTTCAGCTGCAACTTCTCCATTTGGAATCTACAGTAGTCCTTAAGGTTAAATTTCCAATATGTAACTCGAGCTCAAAGGCTCAGAATCTGCTCCTGAAACTTTCTGAAGAATACAGGCAGTTTCGGCTCGTAGAGACTATTTCAATTGCATTTAACTGAGACTAGCAAGTATTATTTTAAAATTACGTTTAGAACGTGTTCACACCTTTTCGCGGTGAGGTGAAAATTTGACAGCCGAGAGGCAAAAATTACTGGGAGTGTAGATGATTTGTTTATTAAATCTGGTTTTCTTATTTCCCTTTCCAATTTCTTATCAAAAGTGATTTTTGCTTCAGCGGTTTTATTGCCAGCCTTCTTTTCAGCCGCCGCAAATCAGCCCTCATCTCTTGTGATTATGATTTCCCGCTTCGTCTCAAGGAAATGTTTCATCTCAGTAATTGCAATAACACTGAAATCAGCGTTCATAGATATATCCTGTTTTATTTTAACGATAGCAGCAGCAGAAAACCTGGCAATCCAATGAGCGTTGTAGCAATCGAATCCCCAGTGGCCCCAGATCTCATTATCAGAACCATTCAAAGAGATAGCACTCTGTATTTCATTCAGGTAGCTCTTGAGAAATTCTGCAAACAAAAACATAAGTCTCGTACAAACAACAAGGATGAATAGCTCGATTGTTGTCGTAGCAGATATCAGTTTACAATCTGCCTGAGCAAAAAAGAAATTAAGTAAAAGTAAAATACAATCTTATTTTGACATTAACTTCAACGAAAATCTCGATTAAGAATTTTTTTTCTTTCAGGATGATGATACTCGTACTTGTCTTGTTCGAAATGCATAGAGTTAAATATTGAATTTTCTCTTAATTTAATTTCTACATAGTTGCGGTGCTCCTTTTCTGCATGAGCATGGAAGTAACTTAATTAGTACGTAAATATATGTGTAATAATGCTTTAAGATGCTCTAAAATACAAACTAACTTTAATAGGCTTTAAAATGCACACTAGCTTTGAAATCAAACATGTTTTAAATGTTTAGATAATAAAAAAGAGCTCGGAGGCTATGCATGACTAACTAGTGAGATAAGAGGATTAACTAAAGGATGCGACGAAGTATCGGAGTGTACGTGAAAAAAGAAAAAGTAAATTAAATTCCTTAAATATATTCAAATCTTCCAAAGCAAGCCCATTATAAAAAATTATTTTGCTAATGTCCTCAAGGTTCTTAAATAAGATATCTCCTAATATAAACGAGATATTTTTGCTTTGATAATTAGAATTAGGTAAATTTCATTTGTTAGGAAATTAAACACTTTAAAAATATACATATATTTGCACAAGATTTTACGATAATTTATATATATTTGTGCAATTTATATTATTTCAAATAATATTAATTAACCCTATGCAATTTGTAAATGACGTGTAACTGATGTTGAAATATTCTGGTGCTTCCTATATTCATTACAGGAAGTATAAAAATCATAGATCAGTTATATCAGTCGTTATCAGAAAGTGAAAAAAAGGTTTAAATTGCATTTAAATGTTGCTCATGTAAAGATGACTAAATAAATTAATTAAACACCTTGTATTTTGCACATAATTGTGTTACCTAACCTATAACCTTACAATGAATAACTTTTTTAATTAATTTTTGAAGATTAACATGCTGTACTTCTAGCGCTGTGCCACTTTACAACACAGTGCTGAAATTCTCAACTTGCATTCATTCAGATTTATAACTCTGCATGGTTTAAACATATATGAAATATTTTGTTTTGATAACTGAAGACTGCGCCTTGAATTGAAAATGTAATCTGACAATGTGTAAAACAATTTTGAGTTACTTATCATAAAGAATACAACCATTACTTATGCATCTAATTCTAGCCTCAAACCGCCATCATTATCGAATCTTTACAAGGAGCCAAGAAGCTTAATGAGTATTATATAATCCTATAATTAATTGTATTTTAGTTCTATTCCTATTTAGTATATTCCGAATAATTAATATGTCATGAATGGAACTATATTAAATATCCATTGCTTAAATGATTTGTATTAAAATATGTTGCAATATTGCATTATGTGAGAAATGTTCATTTTTAGTTTGTACAGTGTGTTACTCTTGAATGTTTCTAATTCATCACATGCCTTTCAATCAAATACATTTTCTTACAGAGTATTCCCGAATGCGTCTACAACTTATTTGAACAAGACCTGGGGGCATTTCCAAGCACCCTATACTTTGTAAGTAGATACTAAATATATAACCTTTCTATTTAATTTCCTTTAGGCCTGTTATAATACAAAATTTTGAAAGATAAAAATCAAGCTAAAATATCACATATTGTATCCAATTACGATAAGTAATACCTGTAACAGTAATAATCAGTAAAAATATTTACTGTAATTCATCCATAAATTCGTAAAAAATTAATTCGTGTATATTTATGAAAAAACACAGCTTCTAAAGAGCAAAATACTTGGTGTTTTTTTTTTTTTTTTTTTTTTTTTTTTTTTTTTTTTAGTTTAGTTTTTATTTCTTAACTTTGTTTATCACATATATTTATGCAGCAAACTGAATTTCTGTAAATATGTTTTCTGTGAAAGTCGTATAAATTAATTTCATAAAAACACTACTTTTTCTTTTACGATGAGCTACTAAATTTTATTCCGATATAAGTAAAAAATAAACAGGATTCTCTTCTGCAACAGAAAGGGAAAAAATCTATCTGATTCTCACTATTTAAATTTAGGGTATTTAATTCAATCACCTGTTTTAGATTTAAACTACTGAATCCTGTAAAACTTGATAAGATTTGATTATTGACTTATTTTAAGTTCATTAAAAAGGATGAAAAAAATTGCGGATTCGCCTACATCTGTAAGATATTTTCTGCCTTCTTTCCGCATACCTTTGTGGCGTAATTGGAAGCATACTCGACGCGTATTTGAGAGGTCTAGGGCTCGAGTCCCGGCGGGGGCAATGCTATGTATTGAGTTTTTCAGTAAAAATGGTGAAAGATTTATAACAAACAAACTTTTTTTTCTTTAAAGTACAGAAGTTGTGCAAGTGAAGCTTGCTTTATTTTCAGTATAGCTATCGAAACCAATTCTCTTCCAGAATCACTCAATCGAGAAAACCACGTGTGTAGCATCTGATTTTGAAGAAACTTCATTTTTACGAAAATAGTGATCCAAGTCTAAATTATAGTTAGTTCGGTATAATTATTTTACTGTAATCGATAACATAATATGGCGGGGGAGAAAAAGGAAATCATATGCTCTCTAAGTGGCTGCAATTCACTTCAGTTGACGTATATATGTGGAATTTATTTTCCTGGTAACAATGAAATTTTATATACAAACATTTTGCATATAAGTTTTATACACGTAGTTGAGTGGCGATCGCTTTAACATCACCTGCAGTTACAGACACACATATAATTTTTGTCTGATCTATTACTGATAAGAAACCTAACTAACAACATAAACAGCAAATTACCAGATACTTTGTCAGCTGCATTCTTACATTACAGCAAACCACAGATTTCAAGAAAAATTTAAGAATATCAATTTAAGCACAACATCTAGGTTCATTGCAATGCCAACAACAGCAGAAGGTGGCTGCATAATAATTACAACACAATATGTACTACAGTCAGTTTTATGAACAAATGATTCATCTTTCCATCTCCTTAGCTTCCTGTCATTCCCAGGTGACGCCATGTGCAGTTTGCTAGTGTTTATTTGCTAATAACTTGGCAGACTTGAAGAAGACATAACGGGAATTGTTTAAGAGTTTAAGAAAACAGTTTCAGAGATATGTTGTCATTTTGTGGCAATGTATGTATCTGCATGCTTAACTGTATACAACAAAGCATATGTAAGAGAAGACAACGGATGCATTTTCGGAGAGCTTTCTAATGGAAATTAACTCATATTTATGTTACATACGGTAGAAACTTCTGAAAACATCATGCAATTAGCAGGAGCAGAAGGAATATTAGTGTTCAGTTATCTTGTCCCTATTTATCCCTGATCTTGTCCACTCATCTATTTCTGGGTTATGATATAAGTAATGATAAACTTGATTAGTATCTGCTTTCAAGAAGAATAAAAAATTTAGTGTTCAATTCTCTAATCCAATCGGTTATTTGCGGGCTATGGTACTCAAAGGTGATAATATATATTACTGTCTGCTACCAGGAGGTACAGGAATATTAGTTTTCAATTGTCTAATCCACTCGTCTTTTGTGTGTTATGGTAATTAAGTGATGATAAAATAGATCAGTATCTACTATCAGAAGGAACAGAAATATTAGCGTTAACTTGTCTAATCCATTCGGCTATTTGTGGGTTAGGCTAGTAAGTGATAATAAAACAGACTAATATCTATAGAAATTTACGTATTCGTTCATATCTAGGGTTTTAAAGTTTTTTTTATTTTCAGTGTTGGAACTACATACGTTTTATGATAGTGCCCCCCTTTTCTCCAAAAAAATTTCCCGTTATGTCTTCAAAATATTTTCAGTACATTTATAACGCCACAGAGTTGAAACACATACATTTCGAGGTTAATCTGAATATATAGTTTTACTGGTAGAAAGACTTCTAAAAAAGCCTGCAATTTAATTAATAGAAATAACTTCATAAAGTTTTCACAGTGTTAATTACTGAATAAAATTATACTTATAAATTAAAAAATTGAAAGGAAGAGCTTGGATACGTAGTACATAGAAACAGTTACAGAGAGAGGCTATATGCAGCGTAGAATTCTATATACAGCTATCCCTAAAGTTACGTATTCCCCTTTTACAAAATTTCAGAATTACGAATTTATTTGTAGAAAATACTAAGAATAAAAAATAACTAAGAAAAATAAACTAAAAATAAAAAATTTCACCTTATTTTACAAACTCTTTCTCACTTCGTAAAGATGAGAAATTTCTGATGATATTACTAATCATTTGTTAGTTTAAAATACAGACTCACAAAATATTTCGAACATAACAGAGTATCACATATCTTTCAGAAAAACAGAAATGTCTTAAACATTGATAGGTCGATTAGCTATGTGATTGATTAATAAATTAGATTGGATTAAGGTAAATCACACAGGAAACTTAGAAAACAGGCTTTTAATAACATAACATGTTGTTAAAATCATGAAAACCCCATTCAGCCAGCTCCTATGTCGAGATTTGAACCCGAGTCGAATTACCAGTATTTAACGTTTATACCGTTTGGCCACTGTTGGGTGATGGCTGATGGAGGCTTGAAAATGAAAAAACAAATATTTCAACAGCGATTACAGTAAAGCAAAGCATGCAGCAATTAAAGAAAAGTAAGAATCTCTTCAAAATGAATTAGACATTGTAAAATAGACGATATGGTCATAAAATATTTTAGTTAGAAATATAGAGTTGCTGTAGAGGGTATATGTTTTGGAGTAAAAAAAAAAAAAATCCGTGGAATTTTATTCCTGTCTTTCACCTGACTTTGTCCCTGGTAAAAAGTTCAACGAGCTATGAACAAAAAATAATGTGGGATCACTTAGACAATTTAGAACTGTAAGCAATACTTAAATAACCCGTTCGGTGCTCTGATGTGATTAAAGCCGAGAATCAAGCACTTACATTTGAGTTAGTTAAGTACTATAAGAAATAAGATTTGAATTAATTAAGTATTAGGAAAAAACGTTCTTAGTCTTTAAGAATAAATTATCCTGAGGCATTGATTTATTAATGAAAAAAAAATCTGATGTGGTGGTGTATTTAATTATGGCAAAGCACACTAGGGCTATCTGCCTAAGGGGAGGGATGCCTTCGTGGAGGACTTTCTAAGGGAAACTGGCTCGTATACACATGGGAAACATACATGGGAAAAACCACGAAACACCCATGCAGCCAGCCCGTTCGCGGGATTCGAACCTCGGACATAACTACCAGTGTTCAGCGACTTTACCGCTCGGCCGCTGGTGGGCCAAATCTGATTTGGACACCCCATGACTGCTAAATTATGCACTTTTTTTTTTTTTCTTCTCCACTTCATTTAAACTTAATTTTTCGAATTATTCTAACTTAATGATTCCTCAAGGCAAGCAAATATAAGTATAGGAACCGGAAGATCGCATTAAAAGTTTGCTTTCGTTAATTGTCGAAATTCTTTTTTTTAATTAGACATTGCCAAAATAGGAATATTTTTGTCATTTAGAATACTTCTGCAACTTGGAGAATGCTATAATTATGACCAACGTTAGCGAAAATAAAAGCCAGGTAAGGGGATGTATATATATATATGTTTGCTTATTGTATACCCATATGCAAAATTTTAACGTTCTTCGGCTAATCAATTTTGAGTTATGCAAATACATACAGACGTCATGAAAAAAAAAACCCTTTTGAATCCATTTAAAATCAATTTTACAACCCGTTTTGGAAAAAATACTCCTTTATTCTGTTCGTACATACAGACGCCACCCATACAATCATCCAACTCGATTCGGAAATGGTCAAAGTAGATATTTCCGTTGAAATATGACACCGGAAATTTTTATGATTATAGTACTTCCTTTACTTCGGACAAAGAAGTAAAAAAGGATAATTACGAAATTTACCCTGAAGCAACGGATGGCTAACGGATCAGAAATGATTAAAAATGAGACATCAAAAATTATTAACATTAAAAAATAACATTAGATTTAACTAAATCTGTAATAAATGCGATTTCTCTAGAATAATAGAATATATTACCCAAGTTTAGGTGCTTTTTACATCCTGTATAGGGTAAAATAAAGCCGTTCCATTAAATAATTTATTTACAAAAGAAATTCGTTATTCGGCTCAACAATACTGAACAACTTACCGTTTTCTTTTCTTGCAAGAGCTATCCGTTTCTTTATAAATATAAATCTACATTTGCATATTTTTGTTTAATTAAGCACTGAACAAATAAATGTGAATGATGATCCAAACAAGTTAATAGATAAGATTATTAAAATAATTTTATATTTTTAATTTAAATTTTTTTCAGCTCTTAAATTAATTTTGATTTTAATCCTTAACTAAAAAATTAATCATCGAGATAAGTAAGTTAAACTTAGTAACTAATTTACGGTAGATGTTTCACAGAACCGTAAATGAATGAACTCTATGATCTTTATGAAGCCTCAGAATCGAATTGAATTATTCAACAGCTTTTGGCTAACACAAAGTGCGCCATCTGTTCACCTTCCAATGAGCTGG